ATCATCTTCCAGGATAAGTATGGACAATCGTACTTTCTCTAAATTATATCTCTAATGGTATGGATGGCGTGTGTAAAGGGAATAAATCTAAAAATGACATGTAATTAGTTCTTTATTACTTAAAAAACACAAGGAAGTATTGTGGGTATTAAATTAAAACTTATGTGTTCCTCGTTTCCCTGAGCTGATGATGGCTGCTTGTGTTGTTTCCCACTAATTGGGCTCGAATACATGAATTATTTTTATCCATTGCGTCCTATTGAGTTCAATTTTTTTAATTTAGATAAAATAAACTAAGATCCTTGTTTTAATACAATATGCTTAAGTCTTTGTAGGTGGTCTACCTCTGCCTTTTTTAACATAAATCGAATCTAAAACATCTACTCTCCTAACTTGATCATCAGATGGTCAAAGTTTAAAGTTTGATGTGACAAAATGATGTGACAAAATCATCTAACATGACTCTATCTAATTTTGTCTTCCACAGAAGTTATACTATCCCTTTTACAACCATATTCATTTCACATTTTATATCTAAGTGTAAATCCACTCATTCATATGAGCATTCTCATTGTCGCAACACTTAACTTAATTTTATGCTTCTCTTTCAAAAGCCAACATTCAATGCCACAGAGCATTGCAGGTCTCACCACCAACAAAAAAGGCTTTTAACCCACTAAGTGGGCTGACTACATTAATCCCTTTTGTTCATTGAGTTCTATTGAGTGTCCTATTTTTATTTAATTTTAATAAATTAAGATCATCTTTTATATAATATGCCTAAGTCTTTGTAGGTGGTCTACCTCTACCTTTCTTAACATAAATCAAATCTAAAACATCACTCTCATAATTGGATCATCAGATGGTCAATATTTAAAGAGACCAAACCAACTAAGACGACTCTCTCTAATTTTCTCCGCCACAGGAGTTGCACTAACCCTTTCACAAACATTCATTTCACATTTCATTTCTAAGTGTAAAACCACTCATCCACCTGAGCATTCTAATAATGGTAACACTTAACTACTTAATTTTATGCTTTTCTTTTAAAGGACAACATTCTGTGCCACAAAGCATTGCAGGACTCTCACCACCAACAACAAGCCTATGTTGTTTCCCATCCAAATGCCTATGGTGTTTCCTTGGTGAAACCCCCAAATCATATCTTTGTGGAAGGAGCTATTGCTAAAAAGTTGTAGGGTTGGATGGATAACTTATTTCAGCTTTCTATTTATGCTACTAGAATTTCTGTTTATTCTTTGATTCAACATTGGCTTTTGGATTTTAATGGTATCTCTAATGGGCATATAAATACCATCAATTGCATTTGTATTCTGGCATCTTTGGAAAGAGAAAAATAAATCCACGCATAGAGGTGTCAAGATAAGTCTTCATGTCGTATTATATGGAACATTAGGGAACGAATTATTTCCCTATTGCATGCAAACTAATTTTGAGGAAAAGTATTAAAAATTATCTAAGAATTTCTTCTAAGTTTAATTTAAATGTTGCTAACCCATTTTCTAAACAAGATAGTCTTAGATTTTGGAAAAGGCTTAATATGGGTTGGTTCAAGTTGAATATAGATGGCTTTTTTTCTTTTGACAGATCTAATTTTCTTGGCTTACTTCGTGATAATCATAGGCCCTTCTTGTTGCTTTTCTATGCCCTGTTACTAAATTTGCAACTATTTATGCTGAATTTCTTGGCTCTTAATCATGTATTGGCTACTGCTCAATTTTTTTTTGTGGAAAAATTTGAGAATAAGCTTTGAACATTAGACCTTCTAATTAAAATATGAATCAAGTGTGAGCATCTTTAAGAGCTAAATAGGTGCTATTCTTTTACAATGAATTTGTTTTACAGCCCAAAATTGAACCCATTACATCCTCACCATTCATTTTCACCTTGTTATTATTTAGTTTTTTAAAATAAAATATATCATTCAAATATCATGTAAGATGTCGGTTGATTTGTGTTTAAATTAGTCATCATAGTAATATTACTTTTAATATACGATCACATTCATGTTTTCTATATTGATTTATCCCCATGTGTTGTACAAAAAATGACATCCGGCACAAAATTGATCAACAAAAATTACGTACATTTTCAATTGATCAACCACACTTCAATAAACTCATATCATGTTATATCATCACTACATAATAAGCAGCAATCTAATGCACATCTCAGCCTTCAAAATGTTATTTCGAATCTTAATTAAAATAACAAATAAATTATAAAATCAACTATTTACCAAAATTAAGGCACACAGACGCAACCTCCCTCCCAGCGTTGAACGGGTCCAGCGCTAGGCCAACACATTCCCACCACCCGCTCGCTCTCCAAAGCAAGCTCCTGCCCACCCTTGGAACCGCCATCTTCCTCCTCCCACCCCCCTTTCAACGGAAGAAGGTCTCCACCATCATTCGAGAATCAAAAACCAAGCCAAAGAACTAGGCAAAAGCAAAATCATGCCTCCTCTCCACCCCTCTATCCTCCTCCTCCTCCTTGCCACCGCCTCACTCCTAGACCCAGCCACCGCGGGCACTATCCACATTCACTCTGCAGCACCATTCACTACTGGAGACGATGAAAACGGTCTAGCAGCATCAAGGAACAATTTTTACGATGAAAGCGATGAATTTGCTGTCGACGCCAACAACGGACGTCGCAGCCTCATGGCCGGACACCGCCGCTTTCTGAGCTATGAAATGCTTAGACGGAACAGAGTCCCCTGTACTCGTCGCGGTGTGTCTTACTACAACTGTTATCGCCACGGAAGGGCGAACCCATACCGTCGTGGGTGCAGCTATATCACCAGATGCGCAAGAGACTTGCGCTGAGAGCCTTTTAAGCTTTGTTTGGAAGTTAATTTCTTGCACTCGTTATATTATTTTTTTAGTATTCTTTCTTCTTAGTTCCTGTAATGCAAACATCGCTACAAGAGAAAAATGGTGATTGCCCGGGATTCATTAGGAAATAAGCGGTGTGGCAAAAAAGCGAAAATATATGGCATAAAAATTGGATTATTTGTGCGGGTGAAGAAACTAATGTTAATTTTGTTCCATTTTGAGTGTGTTTTGATTTATTTCTTTGGATTGTATGTTCACTTGGTTCCAAGTCACCTTTTTGGGCTATTTCTGTATAAATTGCACTCGTGTTTATATAT